ATAAATCGTTATGAGAGCATTCACTCAGAGGGTTGAACCCTAGGGTTCATCCGCCTAACATAGAAGTGCACAACAGGGACAGAGGAAGAGGCAACATCTACTTTCTTAGAGGGTGGTTCCTCAACAGCCTCGTCATCAGAGGACAACACGATGTACTCGGTGTCAGGGAGCCCACGCATCCTTCGCAAAGCCACACGCGTCGCCTTCCTCGAAGACCAAACCTTAGGTGGTGGCCTTTCCCTCTTGGATGTGGGCTTAGTTGGGGCCACAAAACTCCCCTCTCCACTCTCAGCCACCAGATCTAGAGGAGCCTTTGAGAAATCGAGTGACTTCCGACGGGACTCACCCTGTCCCTCCTCCCTCTTCTGTCTTTCTTCCTCGTCGACGCTTTTGAGGACTTGACCCAGAGCTCTGTATGTGTATAAGGTACAGTAGGGACCCGTTTCGCTGGACTCATAGAAAGCACGAGAGAAGGGTGAACCAGTCTCAAAGCAATGGATGAGATGCTAGATCAGATTCTCCTCCCCTTTGTCGTTGGTAGCCATGTACGCATCCTTCAAAGGATCTAAGTTAACCATTGTTGAGGGGGGAGTTGTGTTTGATAAAGATCGAAGGAGAGAAGTAAAGATCTGGAGAGAGGAGGTGGGAAATCAAAGAAGAGGAGGAGAGAGAAAACCCCAAATGATGAACTAGGGTTCATCCGGAGAAAACTCCAGAACAAATAGAGGAGCCCAACCATCGTAATTAATTTTAGGTGGTTGGGAATGTGAGTGAATGAGGAGAGTTGGGGGGAATTGGGGTAATTAATGGAGGGAGTTATTAGATTTAGGTGATGTGATTAGATTAGGTTAATATGATTAGATTAGATTAGAGTAAGGGCAAAGATTAAAAAAAAGTTGGTTAAGTAAGGGTAAAACCGTCATTTCAGACCTTTTTCATAACTAAAAATAGAAAGAAATCAGAAAGTTACACATAATACAAAACATCCTAAAATGGCAAAAGTTGCACAAAATAATTAACTGAGGTAGTACTTAATTTATTTTGTGGGTTACTTATGAATCACTTTTTCCTCTGTCTTTTTGCATTTTTGTTATGGTAAACTTTACATTTTAATGAAAAATGCACCAAATATAGATATGGGTTTTCCTGTAGAATTCTGGTTTTGTGATGGTAACTTTGATTACATTTCTGGGTTTGATTGAAAATTTTATATGGGTTGTAATTTGTCTGCATTTTTTTCTTTTTTAATGAAAAATGTATAAAATATAGATATTGGTTTTCCTCTAAAATTCTGATTTTGTGATGGTAAATTCGATTACATTTCTGGGTTTGATTGAAAATTTTATATGGGTTGTAATATGTCTGCATTTGTTTCTTCTTTTTTTTGTCTCTCTTTCTTCCATCATCTCCTCTGTTTTCAGTAAAAAAAAGAATTGTGGGTTTATTTCTATCAAATTCTTGTTTCTACTTTTGCTCTATCGTTTCCTCAAAAAAAAAAAAAAAATTATATGGGTTTTGTTAAATTATACTTCGTATGTTGTTAAATTGAATTTGCAAATTTTGCATTTATGGGGGTTATGATTATTCGTGTTTTTTTTGTTCTTGACTATTTAATATTGAAATGTTGATTAAACTTGTCAAATGTATCATAATTGAATGGTGTTTGACATTAATATGTCTAACTTTTTTTATTAGAAATATACAATACATTAAGTTAAATTACCCACGAACTACAGTACATGTAACTCACTCATAATTATTTTTAACTATTAACTATAAATAGAATACTATACTGTAACAGCAATACTATCATACATTCATACCAAAGTATGTTGTTATTCTTTGAAAAAAAAAATGGATGCATGGGAAGTAGTAGTTCAAGAAGCAAATGCAAAAATTCCTGTGGCAACCGTGGTGTTGCCTCTTGCCTACGTATATCCTATCCTTATACTGGTTGTCGTGATCGTGATTAGTGTGGCTACTGCTTCAGCCGCGGTTGCTTTTGCTATTTTGGCAGTTGATTAAACTTGTCAAATGTATCACAATTGAATGGTGTTTAACATTACTATGTCTAGCTTTTTATGAGAAGGATTTGAGCAATATAACTCGTACCAGTAGTTTTAGCATATGTTAGTATCATTATGTGTCGTGTATCAGATTAGACGAGGCTCTAATCAAGTAGAACACACACAATTAAGGCAACAGATCGTAGTATTGATGTAATCAGGGTAATCCAATAGATACAAATTCCTACTTTTAAGAGGTAGGAAGTCTTTCCCAAAATGTTTCCTCACTTTTTTTTGTGGTACCTTATTACATAGCTTAAGCCTTATAATAGTGCTACTACATATTCTTCTTGTAACGTTTAATTGGCTGATTCTGTTTATAAATTTTGATTGTGTTTCTCTTCTTAAGCCCTTACAAATTCTTATTACATAGCTTGTTGTATGTGCTAAGGTTGTGCAATCTGCTTATTTGTTGCGATTGTATTATGAAATTTTTCTAAGACAATGTGTTATGTATCATACTATGGGTTCCTGTTAGGAACATGGGCTGTAATATACGATTAATACATATGCATCGACTGTCCTTTGTGAGTTATTATACGATGTGTTATATTCAAGATGACTGATCTAAATTTTTTTAAAATTTAAAGATGATATTGCAACTGTTAATATTATCATTGTTTGATGATTTATATCGTTGATTTTTTAATTAGTGTCTAATAATAACACCACTAAGTGTCACCACCATCACTATTATCACTACTCACAAACTTTATAAAAATGAAGGTTGATTAAACTTGTCACATGTATCAGAATTGAATGGATGAGAAGGATATGAGCAGCATAACTCGTAGTCTCGTACCAGTAGTTTTAGCATATGTATGTTAGTACGTGCTGTGAATCAGATTAGACAAGGCTCTAATCAAGTCGAACACACACAATTAAGGCAACAGATCGTAGTATTGATCAAATCAGGGTAATACAATACAAATTCCTACTCTTAAAGAGGTAGGAAGTCTCTCCCAAAATGTTTCCTTATTATTTACACATTTTGGTTAGGTTGAGTTTTTTTTAGAGACATGTGAATTAGAGAAAAAGTAGGAAACCAATGTAAAATGCATATCCAGTTTACATACACCATCATGTCTTATTGCTGTAAAATGCATAACAATTGCAATAGTAAGCTTTATAGTAACAGGAATGAAACAGTAACAATGGAATCAATGTTGATACATGAATCTGTGATTCATTAAAGCATTCTGATTTGAATTTTGGTGTTATCTCATATAATGTGATCTATATTATATTTGGTTTATCTGAAAAAAGTATCAAAGACTTGAAATAAGTTGAACTGAATACAAGATATCACAAAATCTGATTTATCACTAATATCTCTCTGCTTTCCTTTACATAAAATCTTATTTGAATTTCATACTTTGTATAGGCTTAGTGGTTCACCCATTCCAAGTTAGCAAGAGGCCTATCTATTCGATGGAAGAGAAAGAGGAAGGTAGAGACTACTACCTTAGAGTTGATATGCCCGAAATTGCTTCTAAACATGATTTGAGTTTTGTTCAAGGAAATGAAAGACAATTGAAGGTGACAGGTAATGTGACTCGAAATCAAATGCATGGATGGTCTGATTTTGAGAGGACATACTCTTGTGTTATCGACCTCAATAGAAAGCAAAGTGATATTGATATTGAGCACTATGTTGTTGATGGTTGCGTCACACTCATCCTACATAATGCAAAGGGTCAAGTCCAAGTCCAAACACACCAAGTAGCTCAACATACTGTCAACAGCCCCAAAGACCATATTACATTTGGAAATCATGGAACTACTTTGATTGATCAACAAAATCGGGCAAGACTTGGAAAACGTGGGTAACTCTGTTTTCTTTACAAGACATGGAACTACTGCCTAGAATTCCCTTACAAGATTCATGACTGAAAAATCATAACTTATGATGTTAATGAACTATATCAATATAACTAGATTAATGACTGAAAAAGCTTTACATCTTGTTGTGAAAGTTATAAGGCAGTCCAAAGTTAAAGGTTTTTGACCCTCCTACCTTATGTTAGATTGCAGTCTCTTTAGGGTCATGTGATTATTGCACAAGTATTCTCTGCTGTGAATGTAATCCTTATTATGCTTGGTATAATTATGTGGGGATGATGATGTGAGCACCAATGCAACATGAAAATATATCATATTAAATAAATATTCTTCTAAATATATGATAAGTCTCCTAAATATATGATATTCTACTTTATCTTTCTGATATATTTTGAAATCAACTGAATTATCTTGATTTCTTTTGTGTTTTCTCAGTTACTTTGCCGCCGGAAGCTTACTTGGTTAACCCATTCATCACCCGTGGTCCAACTGGCTGCATAATTCATAAGTTTGCGAAACCAAGCCCATCCAAATTTGTCCTCTACATTCTATTAGAATGCCCTGGGTTGGCAGATTTTGATTTTAGCCTGTCCTCCCTCGCCTATAAAATTGCAAGGCCGGAAGAAGAAGATAAAGATGAGGAAGTTCTGAAGTGTGAGCGCACATATTTCTGGTCAATGAAGTTTGATTGTGGCTGCTGCCGGTTTGACGTGAAAGGTACCAAAAAAACCGATCAAAAGTTGTCAGATGGTTTCCTGCTTCTTAAGCTACGTGGTACAAGTCGTACAACCACATAACTACATCCCAAATAAAAATGGGCTTTTCTGACTCTGCAGTAGTAGTGTGAACCTCGCTAGATTCAACAGGATGTAACCTAGTAACACCGTCTAAGCTATTTGTCAGTGGTGTTTGTGGCCATTAGCATGCTCTTTCTTAGCCCCTGCTTGAGCTCATTCTGCTGAAATGGGACGTTCTTTCTCTTTGAAAGAAAAATCAGAAGATAGGTTGTTTGTGTCCGATTCAAGGAAGAGACAAACTATAGCACAATCCAATATCTTAGAAGTTAACTACTCTTTTTTTTTTGAACAAATAACTACTCTCAAAGTCTCAATAAATCCTACCAAAGTTGGTTGTTTGTTTTTTTTGTTTTTTTTTGGGTGCAAAAGAGGGGCCTAAACAAACAAAACACACAAATCCTACCGAAGTTGAATACTCTTTTAGGTAGAATTAAGAAATAATGACCAACCTCATTCCAGTAATACTAAAACATGATCACTCAGTCCAGTCAAATAATACGGAGTAAGCAATAAACGCTACAAAGAAAAGCTACTCAAAGTCACCTTATTATTCGGAATCTTAATCCTCCAAGTCATGCGTTTATTACCAGAATCAGGATATTGTTGCTCAGTCGCAACACCACCTTGTTCTGTACCTTAAGTGGCAGTCGTTTCTGCACCTTCCAACGGAACATTCTCAGATGAAGGTATCTCTGCATCTTTGTCTTCCGAATCACCATATTTGGCATCAATTTTCTTCTCACGCTCAGCAACCACAGGTTCAGTTTCAGTAACCTCTTGAGGAACCACCTCTTTATTGTCTTCCTCACCACCTGCCTGATTTACTCCTCCGGCTTGTGTCCGTTCTCACTTGCTGTATGTCCTGAACAACAAAACACATCAATGTCAAAAACGCCAATTCCAAAATAAATGAGCATATTACATACTATAAATTCTAATAACATCATCAAATTAACTCAAACTCAGGACAAAATAACATTGATTAAATTAATTTCCAATGAAAACAGCAATCAAAATAAAAATCCAGCAATTTTTCAAATGATCATCATCAATGCCAAAACTACATATCAAACCTAAAGAATCAGGTTGTTCATAAAAACAAAGGCGTTTAGCAGGTTAATGAGCAAAGTATAAAAACCAAGTATTAAATTTACTGCACAATGTGTTTCCAAAATAAAGATCCTAGACCGAGGTCTAAGACATGATATATGAAATTTGACTATTAATTGATCACTTCATCAGCTGCCACCCTCCCCTACTTCCTTCCTTCCTCTTATTCAGCTTGAGGAATACAACCGTCATATACCATGGAATCATTGATCAGATTGATACAAAGAATGAAAGAGGTAACTTGGTGAACTTCGAAGATAAGCTAATGCTGGTGAAAATTACCTTCTTTGTGCTGTCAAGCTGATGCTCTAAATGTTGAAGTTCCTTCAGGTTCAAGGTATCAAGTTCTTCTCCCATGTAAAGCCTGCAATGATAAAAAAAAAAGCTTAAGATTTTCATTGATAGGGCGGTTTTTGTAGAGAGCAGCATTTGTTTCTTAAACTTTACCTGTGATTTTTCTGCAGAATTTCCAGCCTAGACTTCAGCTTTGCATGCTCCAGAGCCAGCGTACCTAATAGTAATAAGCATGATTTATTAGCTGAAGCACATCTGAATGTAAAATCTCAACTATTTTGCTTGGAAGAAGGTAACTGGCATACATGGGAATCAGGACCACGAGCAGTCAGCGGTCTCTCTGCATATTAATATCTTTCATAGTGCTCGAGGATCTTCTCCATGCTGATCTTAGGTAACACACCAACACAGACCATGTCAAGAGTAGTTGCATTTCAACTATAACTAACTTAGCTCATATAAAGCACCGAATTAGATCAACAAAAAGGAAAACTCGGTAAAAGATCTAGTAGCTAGGTCAAAGGAATATATAATACACTAAGAAAAAAACAGTGATGAAAAATAATGCTCAGAGATACTCACAGGCACTAATATGCTTGTGAAGATGGATACAAACAACTGGACAAATGAGGATGACTTATTGTGTCCAAGTCCAAAACACCAAAAAAAAGTCCTAAATGACAAGCAGAAAAAGCACACTAATCTGTCTGATTCGCAAACTATAAGACCCCCCAAAACAAGTTCAATGGTTTAAAGAGACTCAAGGTAGCAGGCAAGATCCAACCAATATTATCTTACCAAGCATATGAACATCAAAACAATAAGAAATACATGCTTTGATCCTTGACCAAAAAAGAAAATAAGTTGAATAAGAGGAATAGACTATACAATGGCCGAACCACGTTTGTAGACACCTAAAAAAGTCTCCCCAAAACCAAACCCGATGATGAACCACCTTTCACCGCCACTATTGGTCGGGTTCAGTATTTAATCCCGAGAGTGCTTAAAAAATCGTAATTGATTAAATTCATATTTTTGAACAGTCCATGGATTAGTCTTGATGTTTGGTAAAAGCGTAGTTTTAATTTCAGCCCAAATTTATTATTTAATTTCAGCCCAAATCTCTTTTTATTTTATTTATTTTTAGCCCAAACCTTTTTTATTTATTGTTTTATTATTTATTTTTGGCCCAAACCTTTTATTTATTTTATTTAATTATTTTCTTATTTTAGCCCAAATAATAATAAATAAGAAAAAGACCCGAAATTATCAATCGGCACTTAAAACGCTGAACGAAATTAGGGTTAAAAATGTATTTAGACGGAAAAGCGGGCTGGGAATTTCCGCGCCACGACAGGTACCCACCGTGTCACGGGAATTATTCCTGTCTGACGGTGGGATTTCCGTGACACGGGAAACCTGCTGTGACACGGGAATTTCCGTGTCCTTTTCGCGTAAACCCTTAACGCGTTTTCTTCCCCGTTTACTAAAAATTTCCCGCGTCACACTAAAACTGCACCGTGTCACGGGAATGTTTCCCGTTTGACGGTGGGTTTTCCCGTGTCGCGGTACAGTTTGCCGTGTCGCGGGATACTTTTTTAGGGTTTTTATCATTTTAGGATTCCGCGTGTTCCCTCAGCACATTTTCTCTATAAATACCCCCTCATTTATGATGTACGGGGCATCAATTAATTCTCTATTTTTCTCTCTTCTATGCTTTAGCCTAAACACTAGCCTACCCTTCTTATTTCAAAATTCCTTCTTCAAGTATTCCAAGGAGTCCATACTTTACTCGTGGTTCTGTCCTTAAGCCAAAGCATGAAAGGTAGAACTGTTTGAGGGTTTGGTCCCAAATCAACTCTACTTTATTTAATTTAATTTAATTGTTGTTTTATTATTATTTCCTTGAATTTACTAACTCGTTTATTATTTTGTAGTTGCAAACAAACATAATCGAAGTAATAATTATGTTCCTCTTATTTCTATTATTTTTCTAACGATTTTGTATTGTTGGAATTATTGCTAAATTGCTTCCAATGTTGATGTTTTTCTATTATATTTTTATTGATCACCATATTGCATATTAAAGGGAATATGTAATTGAAAATCACGCCTAATAAGATAATTTGGACAACCGGTTTAGGATCCTTTTTAATCTTGTTTTTAATTAAAGTGATCACTAATATTTTAGAATTATATGTTGCATTAATATTAAACCAATTTAGCTTAATAATAGTTTGGAGGGAATTGAATATTTTGTTTGTATGCCTTTGAGATCACAGCAGGAATCACTTTTCACTATAAGAATCGAGTAGAGGCCAATACGGGCGAATGTGACTCCATGACTCACTTCGTACCATCATCCCCGATCCTCCTTTCGTGGTTCCGAACCATATGGAGTTAGTAATCTCATGGATTATGAATGGGGTGTAACCTTCACGGGTCAATCATTGTTGCCTATCGTTGTCCCTTATCGTGGTTGCCTTTTTATGATCCGTGAACGGTTTACAAGTTCCTTAAAAACTTGTTGGCGGCTCCCTACTTTATTTGTCCCTAATCGTTGTCCCTAATCGTAATGTCAATTCCCACTTCATATGAGTGCCAAGCATATTTACAACATGCTTTAACGTAGGCGCACTTCGAACGACTTCTACAATTTGGCGACTCCACTGGGGAGGATTCTTGGTTATTTATCGATTTGAGTGATCAGTATTTAATTAAGATGAGTGGATGAGACTTGAAAGATTCTTGAAAAAATATTCCTGTGATTAATTTGGCATTTTCGCATATGCATAGACGTTTTTAACGTCGCATTTAGGTCTGTCCCGTAGGAAAAAAATTGAATAACTTGATTGCGTACGAAGGAAAACAGGGCACCAGTCAGATTTTCTGACTGCCGTGCCACGGCAAAATCTGCCGTGTCACGGTACAGTGCACCGTCTGACGGTGTGTAGTACCGTGGCACGGGAATTTTTGCCGTGTCACGTCAGTCCTAAAATCAGTCCGGTGGCTTATTTTCTCTTCTCATAGTCAACTTCCTTCGATTTTTTCTTAAAAAACGTATGTGTTCTACATGCGTCTTAGCCCCGGGGGATTTAAGCTCTATCAACCCAAAAATGCTCATGGCAATAAGGGTTCATCCGAGTTATTAAATCCACCTAAACCATGGAGTCGAGTTCGATTTCATCACGAACTCGCGGAGCCGCCCGTTGGCATACACCCTCAAGGGAGGCTCCCTTGCTAACGCGTTCAAACTCTTAACCATGGTACCCTTTTGACACCCAAAACTTGACCAATAGTTGAACATAGATCTTGACTCTAGGTTGCGAACTTTTTTTACATCATCGTGCCTAAATGCTATGTGGTTGTTTGGTTCTAACCTTCATGTGTTTACTCTTTTGTTTAACCCATGACCAAGGGTTTTTATTTTTACATAGTAATTAGTACGGACCTAAAATCGATTAAAATATGGAAAAATCACAAAACTGACCTGGAACTATGCACCGTGTCACGACATGTTCTGCCGCGCCACGGTAAACAGTGCCGTGACACGGGGCTTTCTACTGTCTGACGGTAGACTGCACCGTGTCACGACAGTAGCACCGTGACACGGTACCCAGGAAAAGTGTCCCGTCAGTCTTTTTTCGGTTTTTGTGCGTATGTATGTGGTTTATGTGTCCAGTTTGGTGTCATGTCTTGTTGTACGGTCAAAAAACGCATCCATAACCTCACTTAATCACTCACATATCGTGTTCACACACTTTTTTCCTTAGTCGTGCACCACTTTTTGACCGTATTTTAGGGTAGTCTTGTTTTTTGTCTCTTTTTTTTTGGAGTAAGTCGGATAGTATCCTCCCATATTTAAAAAGAAAAAAAAAATTCAAAATTATAGATTTTTTTTAAAATTCATTTTTTTTTTATTCAGATGGGTTAAGGTTAAGTTTGGTCATTAAAGGTGTGTTTGTTTTGGTGTCACAGCACTTGGTCAAGAAGCAGGGGTAGATTGTTACGGTTCGAGTCAATACCTCAACAACCTCTTATACCAAAGAGGCGTACAAGGAAACCACCACAATCATCTCCACAAGATCCATCTTCAGTCTACTTTCAACCAATGGCTACTAAGGAAGACATCGAGAATATCAACAAGACAATTGAAATGTTGTCTAACATGATGCAGACACTCACCACTAGAGTCAACACGGTAGATCAAGACAACCAAAACAATGTCACTACCGCTGCAATGGACAAGATTAAGGAACAAATGAGTAAGATTTCTGAAGAATTCACTTATGTGGAATAACCAGTCACCTCTTCGTCCATAAGGGACAAGCTTCCTGAGAAGTTTTCCACTGCCGACATTCCCAAATTCAAGCCTACCGATAATCCGCTTTTCCATTTGAAGGCTTTTTCTGCAACCATGGCTCTTAAGGGAGTAGATGTGACACTCTTCCCTACAGTGTTCCCTCTTTCCTTGGAGCATGCCTGTCAACAGTGGTTCTACTCTTTGGAATCCAAACATGTCGCGAACTGAGAGGATGTTGCTGAAAGCTTTATGAATCGTTACAAGTGTAACATTCAGGCCAAGACTTCTGAATGTGAACTCTCCATTCTCAAATAGAAAGAGAATGAAGGCTTCACCACTTATTTAAGCAGGTGGAGGGAAATAGCCGCGCTCTTGGTGGATCCCCCCAAGGAAAAAGAGATGGTTCGCTTGTTCATTGCCAATCTGACTCATAAGTACAAGCAACACTTGAAGTTTCTGCCTCTGAGTACCTTTGAAGCTGTATACGATATTGGAATCAATATCGAGGACGAACTAATGAAGACTGCTGGTAGCAACAATAATAACAGCACTTGGAAAAACAAGAAGAACGACACTCCTTCTTCTTCGTCTTCCAAGCCCAATAACGCTACCAACAATATCAATATCAATATCAATGATGTGTTGGCCCTTAATGCTCCTCCTCAAAGACTCCAAAGGCAAAGGAGGGTTTACACGCCTTTGGGAATGACTTATGATGCTGCTTTTGACCGTTTGCATGGTTAAGGACTGATTATGCCAATTGGACCATTTCCAGAACCTCGACTAGAGAATAGGACCGCTAGCTATGACCCCAATGCTTATTGAAAGTTTCATCAAGGCAAGGGTCATAATACTGAGAAGTGTTGGAGGTCGAAGGATGCAATCCAAGACCTAATTGATGCTAATCAACTTCCTGTCCCTCCAGGGGGCAAGAAGCCTAACATTCAAACAGGTCCTATTTCTGATGCTTTGGCTATCATGGGAGATGAAGTCTCCTTTGATCCGTCTATACTCATTCAACCCGTGAATGAACCTCTGCCAGAAGTTGTATTTGTCTCGAGTTTTGAAGAAGTGAATGGAATTTGGGATAGTGACGATGAAGACGTCTATCTCAAGGATATAGCCTGTTCATCTCTTGGAACAAGTGAAGATGTTTGGGGATAATTTGAGGTCAAGGTTCTCACCAGAAATGGACGGTTGCAACAACCTAGTCCACCTCCACGTCCACCACAATCACATCGAACAGTTGATCCCATCGACCCTGTGAACAGCGATGTGGTCAAACAATTGCAAAAGACCAAGGTGGAGATGAATGTATGGAAGCTTTTGGCCACCTCCCATGAGCATCGAAAGGCTGTGATGAATGCTCTGGTGAAAATTGGAGTTGATGATGACATGACTCCTCAAGGACTGGTCAACTTTCTCACTACTGAATTGCCAAGTACTAGCAATCTGATTTCGTTTTCTGACAAGGATCTGCCCTCGGAAGAGGATCAACATAATAAGGCCTTACACCTCAATGTGGTGTGTAGGCAGATGAATGTTCCTATGAGCCTAGTTGATAACGGCTCTGCAATCAATGTATGCCCACTCCGCATTGCAAAGAAGTTGGGCATAAAGAATGAAGAACTGACTGCCTCTACTCAAGGGATT